AGGGGAGACAGTATCAATTAGCAAACAGAAAGAGAGTCTTGGTGGTGGTAGATAGTCTCTATTGCAATCTGGTAGTAATTGTGTAAGTGTAGACATAGCTTAAAGATTTACATGTAAATTTAAGATAGATATTCTTTATTGTGTTTTTGCTCAATTAAAAATATATACAGAGGTAAACCGTAATCAATGAAGTATTTAGTGTAAATGAGAAAATTAGTGAAGAAAAATTTCATGATGGCAGTTTGTGGAGCAAGTCTAGTAAGGTGCCAGTTCAAACAAGAGCAGGTGGGTAAGGCCTCTTGGAGGGTTAATTCCAATGAGAACAAAGTGACACTCATGGGTTATATAACATAACTGAGAACTAACACAACAAAAAACAAAAAACAAACAAACAAAAAATTTTAATCTGGCGGAAGAGTTGTTTTTTTATTGTATAAGGGTTGTAATAATAGAACCTCAAAGAAGGAAATATAATCCTAGCTTACTATTGGGCTCTAAAATGTCCTCTATTTGACCGGACGCTATGACTCATGCCTGTAATCCCAGCACTTCAGGAGGCCGAGGCAGGTGGATCACTTGAGGCCAGGAGTTGGAGACCAGCCCGGCCAACGTGGCAAAACCCCATGCCTACTGAAAATACAAAAATTAGCCTGGCGTAATGGTGGGTGCCTGTAATCCCAGCAAGTGGGGAGGCTGAGGCATGAGAATCGCTTGAACCAGGGAGGCAGATGTTGCAGTGAGCCGAGATTGTACCACTGCACTCCAGCCTGGGTGACAGAGTGAGACTCCATCTCAATCAATAAATAAATGTTTTCTATACCTGAGGTCATGATGATGAAACACATTGTATTAGCTAACTACTATAAAGAACAAGTTATCCTCAAACTTGTGAGCTTAAAACAACAGAATATTTCACTTCACAGTTTCTGAGGTCAGGAATCAAGAGCAATTGTGCTAGCTGGTTCTAGCTCAGGATCCCTCACGAGGCTGCAGTTAAAATGTAGGTTGGATTGTATTTTCTAAGGCTTGACACTGGCTGAAGAGTTGAACCAAGGAGGCTCATGCACATGGCTGTCTACAGGATGGCTGCAGTTCCTTGCTCGCTGTTTATAGCAGGCCTCGGTTCTTTGCCACATGGAACACTTCAAAAAGTTGCTCATGACGAGGTAGCTGGCTTCCACCAAATCAAATGATATGAGAGAGGACAATGCGAAAGACATACTGTCTTTTATAATCTAGCCTCAAAAGTGACATGCTATAACTTCTGCCTTATTCTCTTGGTCACACTGATCAACCTGTATACAATGTAATTGATTATATCAAAAGTGTTAAGTTCCAAGAAACAGGGATCATTAGGACATATAGGAAGCTGTTTACAAGAGTCTAATCTTTGGCCCCAAATGATTTATGTCCCTCCCACATACAAAATCCACACCAACTGCTAAATCTCATCCCGTTACAATGTCAGCTCAAAGTCCAGAAATTTGTCACACCCAAATGTGAGTGAGACTCATCAGGTGAAGTTCCTTAAGTTTAATTTCTTGATTATAAGTTTTCTCCATCTGAAAGCTCGTGAAATTAACAATACTAGAGACTTGCTTCCCTTATACGCTCAGCATCCAAAAGAACAAACTCTATAGACATCCTTGTTCAAAAGAGGGAGGGGCATGAGAATTACAAAGGATTCACTGATGCATAATAATTTAAAATCTAGCATAGCAAACGTTGGGACTCATTTGATTAGGACTCAGTCCTGTTTCTGCTATAAAATGACTCTTCACAACTCTTGGATCCACCTTACAGGCTCTTAGTTCTGTCCTTTGAATCATTCTTACTTTTTAATAAAAGGAAGCACTTCATTGTCATTTTTCTACTGACATAGTCATCTCAAAAATGTTTTGGGGTTTTCTATGAACTCTATTTGTAAAAACCACACACATAAATCTCTTCAATCTTTCTCTCTACCTGGAGCTTCTGCTGAGATGCCTGAGGGACAATGCCCTAGGGCTTCCTAGAAGCCCTGTTATTTGACCTTTATAAATCCTTTGTCTGATTGAATTGAGGCACTACCTGTGTTCCTTCTATGACATTTTCAGGAAATTTTAGACACGCACACACCTTCTCCTTTAGAATCATGCTTTCCTCAGAGCACTCTCGATTGGACCTTTGCTCAGAATCTATTTCTCAATTTTAGCATTTTTGACATGCTAACACTTGAGAGTCCAGGAATCTCAAAACTATCAAGTTCTGACTTCTTTCGCTTAACAGCCCTTCCATTAGGTTATGTGTCTTCTATAGCATTGTAATATAAGTAGTAGGAAGAAATCAGACAGTATCTTCAACACTCTGACTAGAAATCACTTTAGAGCATTCTCTTAATTCATTAAGTACATTTTCTACCTTCCACAATACTACAGACAAAAGTGTTGCTAAACTTTCTGGTACTAAATCGAAAGATTTTTACTTTCTCCAGTTTCTAATGTTTTCTCTTCCCTACTATAAGCTTGTACTAGAAGGTTTCAGTCTTTCCTGTCCTTTTAGCCTCCATCCACTGCCTGTTTTCAAGCACTCCAAAATTTTAGTGTCTTTTTTTTTCCTTATAACGGTAACTTCATTCTGGGTACCAAAATATGTATTGCTTATCTATTGCTATGTGACACATTAATACTTAGTGACAGTTTCCAGAGGCTTCTCCAGCCCTGCAGAACTGTGAGACAATTAAACCTCTTTATTTTATAAATTTCCCAGTCTTGGGTATATCTTTATTAGCAGCATAAGAATGGACTAATACACTAATGTTGTGGGTGAGCAATGGCTATCTGGGCCCGTGGCATTGAGGTAAAAGAATTTACCAAGACAGTTGTAGGTAAAGAAAGGCAGATTTATTAAAGAAAAGTAGGAAAATAGGTTTCCAGGGAGGTAACAGGCAGCATCAGCAGAAGAAAAACTGACTACAAAGAAACAAAGGCTTGCTGAAGATTTTATGGAATAGTGTTTATGCTGTATGCTGCAGAGGGCTTTGTCCAGTACTGATAACGCCAAGGTTGCAGTGAGCTAACTTGCAGGTGTCTGGTGATAGGTTAGCACATGGCCCATATCCTGGACATGAAGAAAGGCAGACTCAGCTTATCTGCTTTCTCTTTCTGCCTTCCCCTGCTCCCACCAGCCTAACTCCTTTTCCCTAATTCGAACTTCACAACTAATGGAGGAACCAATAATTAATGTAATGAGAAAAACAGAAAATAATTACTTGTCCTAGCATATGTGAATTAAGGAATCAAAAGGCAGTGTTTAAATTACATAAACTGGCCGGATATATTATGCCTGTAATTCCAGCACTTTGGGAGGCCAAGGTGGGCAGAACCCTTGAGCCCAACAGTTCGAGACCAGCCTGGGCAACAATGCGAAACCCCATCTGTACAAATGATACAAAAAATTAGCTGGGCATGATGGCTTGTACCTTAGCCCCAAGTACTCAGAAGGCTGAGGTGGGAGGATCACCTGAGCCTGGGAAGTTGAAGCTGCAGTGAACCATGACTCCATCACTACACTACAGCCTGGGCTGTAGTGGGAATGAAACCGTGTCTCAAAATAATAATAATAATAAATAAATTAAATAAATGGCATAAACTATGAAGTAGCAGTTGTAACATATTTTTAGGATTATGTGGGTACAGTAGGCATAACTCTAAAGTGGTTTCTAATTGTACACCAGTGGCCTAGTGTACACCTGCATAATCCCTTCCCCTTTAGTTTGAGTAGAATTTGGGATTATGATGGGATGTTACTCTGTGGTTAGAGTACACTAAATAACAAAGGTGAGGCAGTTTTTCAGATGCAATTAAGGTTCCAAATCCTTCTATCTTTCTTTTTTTTTTTTGGAGAGGAGTCTTGCTCTGTCGACCAGGCTGGAGTGCAGTGGTACAATCTCGGCTCACTGCAACCTCCGCCTCCCAGGTTCAAGAGATCCTCTCACCTCAGCCTCCCAAATAGCTGGGATTACAGGCACACACTACCATGCCCAGCTAATTTTTGTATTTTTAGTAGAGAGAGGGTTTCACCATGTTGGCCAAGCTGGTCTCAAACTCCTGACCTCAAGTGATCCACCCACCTTGGCCTCCCAAAGTGCTGGGATTACAGGCATAAACCACTGGACCCAGTCCAAATCCTTCCATCCTAAGTCAATCAAAATGAATTTTTTCATCACGAAAATGATGAAAATAGACCAGCTTTGATTCATAACAGAGAAAACCACTCTAAGTGTTAAAATCAATACAGAAGATAATGCCTAATGAGAGGAGGTCAGGGAGATAGGAGAGTTGGTGCAAAAAAAAAAAAAATTATAATCGTTACATGCTTGCCTGTATTATTTTAAATTTTTTAATTAAAAATATATTATTTTGTAATCACATGGACAACAAATCCAAAACATTACAAATCTCCAGAAAGTGCAGTGCATAAGCTCTCTTAGTTCAAATTAAACATTTGAAAGATATTACATTTCATCCTATATATTTTGTCAGTTAACTGAAGTGCATTTTTCCTAAATCAATCTTCATACAAGAATGTGAAGAGGGCCAGGGATGGTGGTTCACACCTGCAATCTTAGCACTTTGGGAATCCAAGGTGGCAGAATCCCTTGAGGCCAGGAGATCAAGACCAGCCTGGGCAACACAGTGAGACCTTGTCTTCAAAAAAATTAAAAATTAGCTGGGCATAGTGGTGTGGAGCCTGTAGTCCTGGCTACTTGGGAGGCTGAATCAGGTGGATCACTTGAGCCCAGGAGTTGAGGTTGCAATGAGCTATGATCTTGCCACTGCACTCCAGCCTGGGCAATGTGAGTTAAATTTTATTTTGTAAATTTTATTTGACATGAATTAAATTTTATTGAAATTTGTGCTGAGAATTTGCAAGAATGTAAATAAAATTACATAAACGTGCAATAAAATGACATCGAATTTAACATTAAATAGATACATTAAATCAAAATACTCATAAAATTCTTCATATTAATTTTATAATTTCAAATGTAGATACACAAATTTCATCAATTTTAAAACACATTGTTTCACATCTATGACAATTGTGTAAGACACTGTTTGAAAACATTTTATAGACTCCAGAAGTAGACAATTAGTAACAATATAACAGGTAACTGTGTCATTATTAGTAATGTTGGGTCTTTACTCTCCACCTTTTCTGCCCCAAGAAACGTTTAAATGAGCTGTTGCTTACAGATATAACGATTTTTAGTTTCACAGGATTCGTCTAAAGCATTTCCCTTTGAATTATATGCTATGCAGTTCTTTGGTTTAAAAGTTTCAAACGATGGAAATCTGTAATGAAGAAGAAAATGTTAATATGCACAAAAAGAATTGAGAATGTTCAGATAATTTTTCAATTAAATGATATAACTTTTAAAAGCATTTGAGTGAGATATTAACATATTGAGTCCTTTTTTTCTTTCAGTAACCACAATTTTCATGATTCTCTAGTGTAATGCTACAAAACACCCAGTTATTTTCTTACTAATCAATAGCATTGAGGCCAGGAGCTTTTCCTTGCTGTTTTTCTGTTGTCATTAATGGTTTAAATATGTGATATGCTTTTCTTCTATTTTATTTAAGATGTATTATCTGATCTAGTCTAGGAAAACAAACAAGAGCATAAACTTTGTCCCTGTGTCATGCTGCAAATCTCATGTTTATAAATGAAAATGAGATTCAAAAAGTACACACATGCAGAAAATGAGCCTACACCATATAAAACATAAGACAATGCTGAGAATATTGGGATCTACCAGAATAGATAAAATAATAAATATACTTTTTCTGGACTGCCTCTGTGTATATGAGAATCTGTACATGCACATATAATTCCAAGTGCTTGTACTAAGGCAAAAACAACGTATATGTTAAAAGTTCTTTTATGGCCACAAATACACTAACTTTCATGTCACTTGAGCGTTAACTTGGATGTTCTAGGCAGATCTAAAATTGTCATTTTGTTGTACCTTTTCCTTTTTCTGTATTCTCATGCCCTAGACCAGGTCATTTCAGCTACAGTGCTCCTGGATGTTACCTTTACTAATCACATCTAAGGACACATTCATAAAGAGCAAAAAAGGCCATGATTGTCAGAAACTTACAGATCCTGGGAGAGTGCGGAGCCATTCTCCCACAACCAGGCGGTGTGTTCCTCACTATAAGAGAGTCCAATCCAGTAAAAATGTTGACTGGAGCTCATAAAATCCTGCTTCAAGTAAAAGACAATCACATTAATCTATTTTTAATCTACTCTTGGAATAACATATTTTGAGGGAAAGTCAGTGTTTACAATAAGATTCAGCCTGTCCATTACACAAACGGAAATTATTTTTAACTTCCTCTTTAAAAGGTATAGTCACATAACTCAAAGTTCTCATTTATCAGGCCCATTCATATATGGAGAAAAAATACTACAAAATCTCACTTCTTGAAGAATTAGAAACCTTATAAAGGGAGATACAGTCTTTATGGAACACTTTCTTCATGGGGGATCGATGATTAAATTTGATTCCAAAATAATGGTATTGTGCAGGATGAATCCCATGGGTATAATCTGCTCAACATATAATCAGCAAAGGTGCCGTGTACAGCAGGAGAATTTTTTCACTTTTTCTTAAGAATTGGGTAATTAGGGGCCGGGCACGGTGGCGCATGCCTGTAATCCCAGCACTTTAGGAGGCCAAGGCCGGAGGATCACGAGGTCAGGAAATCGAGACCATCTTGGCGTTATAGTGAAAACCCGTCTCTACTAAAAATACAAAAAAACACTAGTCGGGCGAGGTGGCGGCACCTGTAGTCCCAGCTACTCCGGAGGCTGAGGCAGGAGAATGGCGTGAACCTGGGAGGCGGAGCTTCCAGTGAGCCAAGATGGCGCCACCGCGCTCCAGCCTGGGTGACAGAGCAAGACTCCTTCTAAAAAAAAAAAAAAAAAAGAATTGGGTAATTAGGGCCAGGCGCAGGCTTGGTGGCTCATGCCTGTAATCCTAGCACTTTGGGAGGCCCAGGCGGGTGGATCACCCGAGGCCGGGAGTTCAAGACCAGCCTGGCTAACATGGCAAAACCCTGTCTCTACTAAAAATACAAAAAGTGCTACGTCTGGTGGCGAGTGCCTGAAATCCCAGCTACTCAGGAGGCTGAGGCAGAAGAATCACTTGAACCCAGGAGGCAGAGGTTGCAGTGAGCCGAGATCGCACCAGTGCACTCCAGCCTGGGCAACAGAGTAAAACTCTGTCTAAAAAAAAAAGAATTGGGTACTTTTTCTACCATATTTTCCATGCTAGTTTATATCCTAGAAAGATGACAAAAACTATAAAATTATCAAAGAAATTATAAATTCAATTAAAAGAGCTAAAAAATTACAGTCATGTAGTTGGTTCTTCAAATAAAATGGGTAAATGTAATGACCTATTATCTTCTTTGAATTCTTCCTGAAAAGTTTCTTTCACTTTATTTGGCACCTAGCTTGATTTGTATTCTCATGATATAAATCACTGAGGAATTTAATGTAGATTTTACAATGACTACTTTAAGGTACACAGAACAGATAACTCAATTCCAATGTAACCGTCCACTTACTATGTGATTAATGACTTAAAGTATTTAACTTGTTCAGATAGTATATTTTTTCTAGATCAAAGAAAATGTAGAAAATCAGACTTAGCACATGCCAGCTCATCTCTGTTTTGAAGCTGAAGCAGACTGGATTTCTGAGAGGCGCAGAAATGCCTACTTTCGTTCCACGTTTTCTCTTCACTGGAAATGAAGTAACAGTTGCATCGGTACCCAACCCATTTTTCGTGGCAAGAACAGCAGTCAGAGTCTGACAGAAAAGATAAAGCATGACTAATGACACTGGAGACTAGACATTTCTTTCAATGCTATTTAATTATTCAAAAATTATTTGCTGTGTATTCTTTTAACATTCTTTCAGAATCTACTGTATATACCACACTTCAGGGGCTACTAATGTGAACTAATTAGACATGAACATGATGCTTTTTCCTCATGGAGGTTATATTCTAAAGATAGAATCACAATTATATAATTTTCAATAATTTATTAACGATATTTAGTGATGATTTGGATAAGTGCAAAAAAATTAAGTATGTTAGGCCGGGCGCGGTGGCTCAAGCCTGTAATCCCAGCACTTTGGGAGGCTGAGACGGGCGGATCACGAGGTCAGGAGATCGAGACCATCCTGGGTAACCCAGTGAAACCCCGTCTCTACTAAAAAATACAAAAAACTAGCCGGGCGAGGTGGCAGGCGCCTGTAGTCCCAGCTACTCGGGAGGCTGAGGCAGGAGAATGGCGTAAACCCGGGAGGCGGAGCTTGCAGTGAGCTGAGATCCGGCCACTGCACTCCAGCCCGGGCGACAGAGCAAGACTCCGTCTCAAAAAAAAAAATTAAGTATGTTAAAACAGCATGTAGCAGAGTCTAAGATGAGGGCCAGTTACAAGAACCTCTTTTTGAGGAAGTAAAACTAAGTACTGTAGCATAAATAGGAGTTAATTAGATGAAAAAGATTTAAAGGAGGAAAACATTTTAGCATACTTTCTGAGTCAGAAAAGAATACGGTACGTTTGGAGAATTTTGACATGTTTAGATATGTTATTTTTGAAAAGGGAATCTAAATAAACCAATTATCTTGAGGCTTAATTATACATTTTATCAATAATAGTGTCTTCAACATTTGTTATCCACAGTAATAAAAAGCATGACACATCATAGGCACTCAAATCTTTGCCATATATGTGGTGCTGAAGATGTTGCACTATATTTTTATATTTTTTAATTGTTTTTGAAACAGAGTCTTGCTCTATTGCCCAAGCTGGAGTGCAGTGGCACCATCTCAGCTCACTGCAACCTCCACCTCCCAGGTTCAAGTGATTCTTGTGCCTCAGCCTCCTGAGTAACTGATACTACAGGTGCGTGCCTCCATGTCTGGCTAATTTTTGTATTTTTAGTACAGACGGGGTTGGCCCGTCTCAAACTTCTGACCTCAAGTAATATGCCTATCTCAGCCTCCCAAACTGCTGGGATTACAGGCGTGAGCCACCGTGCCTGGCCAAGATGTTGCACTGTAAATGAAGCACTATATAATCACAGATGATGGTGAGACAACTTGGGGCGCATTCTGAAAAAAATATATTCAGAAAATCGGGGCCGGGTGCAGTGGCTCTGCCGGGTACGGTGGCTCATGCCTATAATCCCAACACTTTGGAAGCCCAGGCAGGTGGATGACCTGAGGTCAGGAGTTCGAGACCAACCTGCCAACATGGCGAAACCCCGACTCTACTAATAACACAAAAATTAGCGGGGCAGCGGGCACATGTAGTCCCAGCTACTTGGGAGGCTGAGGCAGGAAGGTGGGAGAATCGCTTGAACCTGGGAGGTGGATGTGGCAGTGAGCCAAGTTCACGCCACTATACTCCAGCCTGGACGACAAGAGCAAAATCCGTCTCCAAAAACAAAAATTGGACTTTGAGCTGGCTTTCACTGGATAAGTAAGGTTTAGAAATCTGTGCACTGTATTCTGGATTACAGAAGGAGCAAAAGGAAAAGTAATGAGATGAAAAAGTATAGGTTATAAGCAAATTCAGGCAGGTAATAAGGATTAACTGTAACATTTCCTGTGGTTTATTTTTTGTTTCTTATTTATGAGCACTCATATAGGAAACATATCTTTCATTTCAGGCTACTATTTTCCTGATTAGTTAAATGTACAAATGATACACATTCAATGTAATTTAATCATTTTTACATTAGATTGAGTAATGTAAAATGAGACTATCCTACACTGGTAGGCAAATTTCTATTATAATATTCCATCATGACTTTCTGTGTGAAAAACAAGAAACTGCTTGTGTAATCCCTTACCAATGCTAAGTTTTCCAAAAAAATGTGACCTACCTTTCTGGAGTTCTATGTTGGGTCCTGGAGTATATGCTGGCTCAACACTCAGTTTAGTAAAAGCTATAAGACATGTTTAAAAATTTGTTTAATTAGGTATGGGTTTACAAAATAATAAAATATTACACATTAGTAAGATGAAGCCTTTATTATTAAATGATGTCATCACAGTTTTGATTTTTATGGAGACTTGCTTAGAAAAACTTACAATTTTTCAACAGAATTCCCAACGTAGCCATCAACGAAAGGCATATTATCCCTAAGGTCCCAGAAATTAACCTCCACAGAGTGGTCTTAAACACTGTAGAGAAAGACAGACAGACAGAGTAATGACTTAAAGAGCAAACACAGGAGCTGAGTTCTTAAAAGTAGAAACTAGTGAGGGAGAATCCACAACATTCTTTCATTTGATAATGGAGTCATCTTGCCAATAAAACACTGAAGACTTTCCAATCAGGACTTCACCCAATACCAACATTTTTATGTGATGTATCTTATTCTTCAGGAAGATTATTCAAACATTTTCTTCTCTACCAGCTCTGTCGCAGTAAAGTGAATTTACCATTTATGTTTTAAATTGGCAGAGATGCTTAAAGATCTGGAGGAAGAAGATATTAACGGGCACCATGTTGTGTTTTATGGACTTACCTAACAGACGTTTATTTTTATTCTCTCAACAAAATCACAAGATAGATAGTATGATTCTCACTACATAGATGAGAAAACATAAAGTCCAATAATGATGTTATTTTCTCAAGGTATCAAAGCGAGTAAGTATCCAAGTCAGAAATCAAATGAAAGTGTGTCTAGCTCAAGAATCTTTCATTTAACATAATCTACCATTGTCACAATAATACTACTGAGAGTATGTCCTCTCCTCATCTCAATGCAGGTTTTGCTCTGATAAATGTCTAGCTGCTCATGGGTTCGTAGAGATATTATAGGGAAAAGAAGACATAGGAACGTTCTGGACTTGGTGTGATAACTGATAACGACAAATATATGGGTAACACCTTGGAGGCCTGGCTTCATTTCACAGTACATTGAACATACATGAATAATCTTTTTTCCCCAAGAAGATTACGTTTGTTCATACCCAAAATTACTTGCTTCTAGGCTTTTCACCTAAAACAGTTCCACATTAGGAGATTCTAACATGAACACACTCTCAAAGAGTGATGTTGTCATTAACAACAGTACAATGTGTCAAACTGTTCATTTGTGTAATTTTTGGATGTCATGACATAAATAGTAAATTTAAAACTTTTCAGCATTGTGTCATTAATATTTGGCATTTTCTATTGCTATGCTAGAATACTGTTGCTCACAGTTTAACTAGGCTAAAGTTCAGTTCTCATTCAGAATTTAAAGGTAGCCCTGTCAGAAGCCACTCTTTAAACCTGTGAGAAAAGCTTCATGAAATCATGTCTAAGTTACACAATGAAGAATCAGGAAAATAAAATGAATGTGGAAAGTGCTAATGCATGAAAATCCTAAAAAACATCCACTGTTAATCATGTCCTTCTCTCTTAAAGCATTACCCCAAAATTAGCCAATCCAAGAAATAGCTCTTCTGGTTATTTTTAATTTAGTGACTGAAATCATACGTACCTGCCATGAGAAATTATGTTCCAAGAGCGAAGTAGAGAAGGCACGATGTGCACTTTTTCAGATAGAACAGCGTTGAATTGTTGGAGCTGAGCTGGAGATTAAAGAATCTGAAAGTTGAGTATGAAGAAATTTAGCCAAAAAAGAGAATGAAAAATTGTGCATTTAAATGATGTTCTTAAATCATCTATTGGTGAGACACGCATTATAGTGTGAATAAGAAGCAGTAGAATCACAAGCCTCTAAAGTGTTCCAGGAACCACAACACAGGAAATTCTCACAGTACTTCTGTAATATTAACACTTCGGCAAGGACAAAAGAAGGTGAGAGGAGGTGAGAGGGAGTTTTGTTGCTGTTTTGTTTTTTATTGTTTGAAAATCAAATTCATTTTCAAGAGTTATCTGGAACATGAAGGAAATGATGGTCAAACCAAAGGTAAATTTACTTAGTATAACAAAATTAGTCACGGAATTTTCCTTTTTTAATAATAATAAACATTTATTACTTACCTTGTGCTTTACACAATTTAAAGCGCTTGGCATATGTTAGCTCATTTATTTCTGTAAATGCCTTGATAGTAAAGATATATAAATATTCTCCATCTGTCAATGAGAAAACTAAGGCATACAGAGCGAAGTAATTTGCCCAAGGTCACATAAATTGGGATGTCCATGTCTCTGTTCTTCTGATCTCTACCTAATTATCCTGGCCATGACAGGCAAAGTTCAAAAAAGTAAAACTGGATGCGTTTCCCACTTGAATGCCTCATTCACGTTAGCCTTAAAAGCTTTTTTCAACACGTCAGTTTTCATTTTCTTAAAGTTCTTTAAGCATGACTTCAGCTTCTTTATTTTCCTTATTTTTACTAATACATTATTATATTGTTTAGTGTGTTATCTACTTCAGATACTGTACTGATACTTCAATATACACTTGTTTGTCTACAGAAGAGTAACCTTGTTAATGGGAATATCAAATGTGGAGCAGGTCAAATTTTCAATGTGGAAGGGATTGGCTATAATAAGAATCTCGAAAGGAGAGATTTCTATCCATGATGTAGTATGTGGAAATACAATCAACCATGCATCCCCATACAAAAGCAGACACTCAAATAAATGTTTTGTGTATTGTATTTTGTATACTGTTTATGTTCAAGCATTATAACATTACTATAGATAAACCTTTTTGTAAAAGATGGGCTTTCAACCAACAACAGAAAAAAAATGAAAAGAAAAGACTACTTTGATTTCTCATTTTTTATGAAGTCTAAACTTTCCATCTTTTCAGTTTGCATTGTGTGCATAGAGCTGCTTTCATTGCACCACCAAATTTGTTGAGCTATAAATCCTCACTGAGGAATATAAGCGTAAAATCTACTTCATCCAGATGATATGCAAATCTTAATTGAAGTGATTTATTTAAAAATCCTTTGCTTACTTGAAATCTATTCATTTTTAGTTTTAGTGTTAGAAAAAGCTGATCTAGAATAAACCTATCTGATATTGATTATTTTCCCCCCATGTAAAATTGCCTTAAAATATTGGAGATTAGGGGCTTGCTTTTAGTTTTTCTCTTGAGACAGTATAAATTTATGACAGAATGTGCAATAGGGATTATTACTACATTTTCAGTACTAAGAGAAACACCTTTATTTGGAAGTTATTCTAAGTTTTTAGAACCATGTTTGGTGAGAATACATCCATCAATCATTGTCCTTTTTTTTTCATCTTAGTTCACTGACTTAGAAATAAAAATCCAACAAATACAAGTTTACTTCAAGAACTCCAGGCTTAAATATTTAAGATACCTAAACACACACATACACACACACACACACACACACGCACGCTGTAAAAAAAAATGTGTATATATATATATATATACCTCCTTCCTTTAACTCTTTCTGAGCTGCCGACTCTGATTGTTCTTTTTTCTTCTTCTTCTTTTTTTTTTTTTTTTTTTTTTTTTTTGAGACGGAGTCTGGCTCTGTCTTCCAGGCTGGAGTGCACTGGCACGGATCTCTGCTCACTGTAAGCTCCACCTCCCAGCTTCACGCCATTCTCCTGCCTCAGCCTCCCCAGTAGCTGGGGCTACAGGCGCCTGGCTAATTTTTTGGATTTTATATATATATATATATATATATATATATATTTTTTTTTAGTAGAAACGGGGTTTCCCCGTGTTAGCCAGGAAGGTCTCCATTTCCTGACCTCGTGATCCTCCTGCCTCGGCCTCCCAAAGTGCTGAGATTACAGGTGTGAGCCACTGCGCCCAGTCTGTTCTTTTTATTTGTTTTTGTACGTAGGCAGGTGAATGGTTTCCATGTACTGTATCTCTCCCACTCATCTCCACTTTTTCCTGAGGCTTGAGGTTATCATTGCCTCGCCTTTGTCCCTTGGAATATTTGGGGAACTATGGCCAACTAGTTATCGGTATAGCTGTATCTACGGGCTCTTTTTTCTTCAATAACTGCTGAAAGCCTTGCTGCTCTCAGACTTGCTAATCCGGAAGTGCTGAATAATCATCACCAGAATGGGCCTCAACAAATGAATCTTGTGATTTGCTATATAGTCTAGCAGTCTCAGCCCTAAAGTCAGGTAATTCTGAACACTGTGTTTTGCCCCATTTCCCAGAATTACTCTATAGTGTTATGCTCTAGTCACCACCTCTAGAAGCTGGATTAAGAAAATAACCTTTATTGTGTTCCACCTGCCCTTTCCTATTGCACTTCCTTTCCTACCTTTATTCGATACACAATTCCAAATAAAGTTTCCACTCAAAGTATTCTCTGGGTGTGCTGCCAAGAGAACCCAGACTAAATTCCGCTGACATATCCAGCTTCACTTATATAAATTTGCTTTAGAAAAGTTAGGTATCCTGCCAAAAGAACATCTCTTTTTGCAGGATCTCCCATTCCCTAGTATCCGCTGCAGGAAGGCGCCCTCTTCCTCCCCTGCAGTTTACTAGTGCCCTTGTTCAGAGCAAGTGATGACTTCAATAGCTAAGTCAACTTTTAAACCTTAGTCAAAAGCCGGGGAAAAGAAGCTAATGTTCACTTAACATATAAACAGTGACGTCTTTTCCCCACCTAAAAATTTATAACTAAAATGCAGAACGCAATAATAGTATACATTCTAGTATCCCCAAGGGAAAAATTTATTTTGATCTCACTGCTTTTAGAAAATGCATTCTTTGAGCGGAAAGAAAATTGCTCACATCAGGCTGCAAATCATTCTTTTAACAGGGAGAGAGGGCTCCCTGAGAAAAAACAAAAGACGTTACTGACCTGGTAAAATCCCATTGTAAACATGCTAATAACAAACCTACTATCTATAGTGGTTTTTTATATATAGTGGGTTTTGCTTGCAAAATCCTTATCAATGGAATGATTTTAGCAGGATGTATTAGATTGTCTAAAATTGTTAGTGGTAAAATCAAATAAAAACATAAAACGAAGGCCGGGCGTGGTGGCTCACACCTGTAATCCCAGCACTTTGGGAGACGGAGGCAGGTGGATCACCTGAGGTCAGGAGTTCGAGGCCAGCCTGGCCAACATGGAGAAACCCTGTCTCTACTAAAAATACAAAATTAGCCGAGCATGGTGGCACATACCTGTAACCCCTGCTACTTGGGAGGCTGAGGCATGAGAGTCTCTTGAACTCGATGAGCTGAGATCACACCACTGCACTCCAGCCAGGGTGACAAGAACAAAACACACTGTTTAAAAAAAAAAAAAAAGCATAAAACTAGAAATTGTGGGTTTATGGAGGCTGGCTTCCTGGAAAAATGTCACATAAACCATGGGTAACCATAACCATGTAACCATCTGAACCATCTGAGTATAAAATGGAGACGTGACATGACCAAAACATCTCCTTTTGTGTAAATGGTACAGCCACAAACACCTTTAAGAGACCTCATATGTTTATCTGTTTGTCTGGGCCACAGTGTGTCCTAAGGGGAAAGTAAGAATGAGTAGGTGCTTTTGCAGGCCTGGGTTTTCCACTGTTTTGTCTGCATCTCACAATTATAACTAAAATTATGAGTAAAGCATGATACTGGGTGAAATCTCCGAGGATGCTTGTGATACTGATTTGACAATCCACTCCTTTGTGTTACCTTCTTGAAGAGCTGGTTAAGTTTTGTCCACATAGATAATGAGAAATATACATACAATTATATGTATAGAAGCAAACACTCCTTGCCTTTCATCTTATAGCCCAAGTTATCATTGTCCCTCTCATATATCTAGGAACCTTTGTTGTACTTGAGCAGACTTTTGCATCTGTAGGCCTTGGGCCTTCTTTTCCCACTAGATCTGCTCAAACCTTCGCCACCCTCATACCAATGGATCTCAGGACTCAATATATAAATATCCCACATTATTCTGCTTATCTTGTATGCAGGGGCTATTTGGGGATGCATGTCAGAAAAAGAAATGTGGTGTTGGGGCTCAGGACACATCACCCCAAAATTTGATAGCAGGAGACTAGAATATGTCCCCTCAAAATATTTTTCTTTGTTGGCATGTTTCAAACTGATTATTTTGAGAAACTGCAGACACAAGAGTAGCTTATGTGAAAAGCTGCCCTTTTGTAAAGGAAAATTACATCTGTAAAGGAAATCTATATTAGTAAAATTATCTATATCACGAAAAGAGCTGCTCCTAAACAATTTTTCCCCTGAAGGACTCTTATTTACATAGCAAGAAAATCTTTATTCAACATGTATTTCCTCACCTTCACCCTCCCACAACGTGTCCCTATTCCAGAAACCGCCTCTAGAAGCCCCAGTCCCTACTCCTTTCTGCAGATCAGGATGCCATTCAAGTGTCAATCATCCAGCCCTTCAATGAGTTGCATAGTTTTGTGGAACCCAAGACTAAGGAAACTCCCCTAATATGAAGGAAAAGAGAATAAGCACAAAGGTGAAATGGTAAATGAGAGTAGGAAGATAAAAGAGGTCAGAGAAGCAGGACAGCGTGCTTCTGACACCAAGGTTCTCATGCCATGAGTGAAGCCACCTCTGCAAAATTATGACAGTGAAAGAAATCTGACATAGTTGATTTGATCTTGCTTCTGACTTCCAAGCTGTCCTTGGTCATTACTGGGTGTAGGTCAAGCGAACTTTGGGAGGAATTTAGTTTATAGTTTAACCTTAAGGCAAGAATGATAATAGCTCTTCTCAAAACTCAACTGCCTTTGATAAACTAATAAAAAGGTCACAAGGTTAGGGTTATGACAGGGGCCTGAGCTCTGCTAAAGTGTGGGTGCAGTTTCTATAATCACTTACTGCTTAGGAGTCATGTGTCTAGTGACCTTCCCAATGGCTCCTATAGATAGCATCAATACTGTAGAAGTTAAGGTTTGTTGTTTTTGAGGTGCTTTTTCAGATGAACCCCACCTGGACTCCTGGCTCATGACTCAACTAATCCTGTGGCCTAACCCAGAGGCAGACTGAAC